TTGCGATATTAGGTAAAAACAGAAGCTTCTTATCCTAGGAAAAATAAAATGGGAAATCTTTCAAAGGTGGCACACTACCTTTAAACGGTGTCGTTTCGTTGCGATCCACTGAGACAGTGGGATCTTGTACTGCGTACCTATCTATACCGTCTATCAAGCCAAAACACCAATCAAACATTGATCAGCAATAACCCCTAAAATTGAAGAAAAAAAATGCGCAGTTAAAGGCCACTTATACCTAGCATTGGCTATTGATCTGGCGTCGGCGTCAGCCGGTGCCGTGTGTAGTTAGTGCTCGTCTGCCCGTCCTGCCGGCCGTCCCCCTCTGTAATCACAGGTGCGACGGGGCCACAGCCGGTCCGTGTGTACGCCGGCGGCACGTGGCGCGTGCCACGTGGTCCGTGCTGCTCCGTGCCGACCGTCTGGGGCCGGCGCGGCACCTGGCCAGACTGAGGGCTGCCCCGGGGCGGACTGGGGGCCAGTCAGGGCCTTGGTACGGGGCCGTGAGTGGCCACTGCGCGGGCATCACGGCCCACGGGCGGTGCACGGCCGCCGCCGCGCCGGCCGCCCGCAGTTTAATTGGCCGCCTAATGGTGCGATGCGTGCCCAGATAGGCTGCAGCGGTGAGTGGAGGGCCGTCTGAGTGACGACAGCGGAGAGCCTCCCCGCCGACAGCCGCGGCCGCCCGCGGGCACAGCCGTCATCGCAGCCATCTGACGGTCGGCGGCTCAGAGCGCACCGCTTAGCCACCAGGAGCTCCACGGTAAACCCTGCTGGCGGTGGAGATACTGGGACTGTTTGGAGTTGGTACCCGCTCACAGTGCTGGTTTCCGCTCACCGCTGTCATGCTGCCCTCTCTCCGTTCCGGTGATGACGCGGGGCAGACGCAGGCCCTCTGTGCACAGCCAGCGAGCCGTGCTCCCAGTCCCGCTCCCTCGCCGCGCCGCCCGGCCGGCCGTGCAGGTCGGACGTCCGGCCGGCCGAGCCACAGGGCGTGTCCCCCGGCCCCGCCCGGCCCCGCCCGAGCCCGCCGGAAGTCGCCACGGCCCGGCGGGCACGCTGACCCGGCCCCGGCCCCGGTCCGGCTCGGTATGGGACACAGCAGCTCCGTGAAATCGGGACAGACATGGAAGCAGGGGACAGGGGGCTCAGAAAGACTGCTAGGAAGATGTTTAGATCGGGAATTTCGTACTTATGCTGATGGCTGGCAAAATGTAGCCCGCGTTAGTCGCGTGCGCGTCTTATTTCTCAGTGCTCTACCTACTCAGAGTGCTGTGACTAATGCACTGGGCGCCCAAATCTGCAACACTGAATGCCATTTCGAAAAGATGGCAAACAACACCATCTGGACTGCATGACGAGGAGCATCGCTTGCAAAACAAGCCCGCAACATATGAGGGTACTTCAGGCTGATTGCCAGCCGTCTTATCTGGTTTACTCACTGTTTAGGGCGCGCGCGGAGGACCTATCTCGCCGCGCTCTGTCGCAGTACGTTCAACTGCGACCCTGATGACGTCAGAGGATAGAGTGTGCTCAGCTGTCACTCTGTGACGTCACAGGAATGCTGCCACTGCTCTGGGGGCGGCGCCGCGCCGCCGTATCGGCTCCCATCTGACCGGTGCGCCCGGGGAGGGTGGAACGCCGTCCCCCGCTGGCATCGGTAACTGGCCGCCGGATCCCCTGAGCAGAGCGATCTGCGGTCATCCACCGGTAACTGGCTCCCCTGGGGCCGCGGGGGTCGGTAGGGCGGACTGGGGCCGCGGGGGTCGGAGGGGCGGGCTGCGGTCACCCACCGCGGTAACTGGCTCCGCTGGGGCCGCGGGGGTCGGCCGGGAGGACTGCCGTCACCCACCGGCGCGTCTGACCGACCAGGCGTGTAACACAGTGACGCGTGACGGACCCGCTGATGCCGATGGCTGTCAGGGAGGTGGCAGGCGAAAGAGCGGCCGACGGAACGGCGTCATGGGTTGCGGTCTATGCGGAGGACAGTGGAACTCTCACATTGGATGGACGGTCGTAGCCTGTGTCAGATCTCCCTGAACAGACGGTCAGGATATCATAGTGGACGGATGCTAGGATCCCGCTGGATAGAAGGTCAGATTCCGTCGGATAGAGGTCAGAATGGTCAGATCCCGCTGGATGGTCGGTCAGATCCCGCTGGACGAGCGGTCAGATCCTGCGCTGGATAAACGGTCAGATCCCGCTGTAGGAGCGGTCAGATCCCGCTGGATAGACGGTCAGATCCCGCGGTGGGAGTGCCGACTGCGCCGGGCCGCCCGCCGCGATCGCGATCATCCGCCCGCTCTGAACCGCAGCAGCGGGCGCTCACCGGGCGCCCGCTGCGCCCTGATTCATTTCCGGACAGGGCTGCAGGGGCAGCGTCCGGCAGACGACTTTTTCTGCCGTCCCTCGAACGGAGGGACCCGGGGGCTCGTAGGAATAGGCATGTGAGACGATCGAATTAGACTGGGGGTTGCTGAGAAATGATTGCAGCAGTTTGAACGCTGTCCTGCACCGTATTTGGCGGTGGGCGTGGGCCGGGTCGGCGCGCCGTGACCCGGTTCCCCTCGGCTGTCGGCCGGCCCTCACCCAGCCGACCGGCGCCGGGGCTGTTTGTATAGAGAGAGCGTCGGGCAGGTGCCGCGCCGTGCCACCGGAACCGCGGCGCCCCTGTCACAAACGGAATCCGGCGGCCGCTTCCGGACCGCGACGGGCCGTAATTGGATTCGGGCTGCGGCGGCGGGAGGTCGGCGGGTCGGCCGCCGCCGCCGCCCCCAAACTGACAGCGGGACGAGCACTGGAAGACGACGCTCGCACATATCCCAAATGGATCCGGTGTAGAGGTTTCCAGCTCTGTGTGGGTGGAATCATTTAACGGTGACACACTTTGTACCTGTGGAAGGAAGCAGCCAGGAACATCAGTTGTGTGGCTTCCCCACGCTGTTCTGCTTCTTGCTGCTTCTTTCTAGGAATTGGAATAGAAAATAATGTATGATGATCCACGCTAGCACTCAGCACTGCGCATGTATCGAAAATCGAATAGATCGTGACTTAGAAAAACAATGTTATCAATTTTTAGAGATTGGTGCGTGATCTAATAGAAATATCTACGATATGCAGGCATATCAAATATTCTGACAATTAAAAACATGGAAAATCCATCACGTGCCCGCCTGCGTCGAGCCGAGTCGTCTCGGTGCAGTGATCCAGCGCCGTCACAGAAGAGCGCCTCTGCCCGGTGCTGATATTTACATACAGCCGTAGGACCCATCAGATGACCGGTCATCACACCCCATCTCCCAGCCCCCACTCGGCTCTGCGGGCCAGCGACTTCCCCAGGCGGCATTCCCCGTCCCGCCCGAGTACTATCGCCTGGGAGCAGCGCCGCTCCGACTCCCGATATCTGCACATCATTTATCGGCGGCACGCGCGCAGCACGGCATCATATCAGCTGATGTATCGGCCGATTATCAGTCGATGTATCGGCCGGCTAATCATCTCGGGCCGAGGCTGCGCTACAAGTCACGAGCGCGCCGTGGCCGACACCTCATCTGCGGAATGCGGCGCCGCAGAACACGCCACAGGTCTCATTAGCACCGGCCTGGCGTGCGGGAGCGCGGCAGCAGCCAGCAAAGACGTAGCCGATAGAGAATATGGCTAAATGTAACGGGGGCAAAATGCGACTCAGCTACCAGGAAATCAGAGGGCAGTTTTAATTGCTACTAACAAGTAAGCCTCTGGATCTGCCATCATTATTTTATTAAGTTTTCATACAAGCAACCCTTTCGGCGGATCATGGCAAAAAAAAAAGTCATTATAACGACTTCGGATCGGTCTGCCCGTGTGGCCTTTTCTCATGCAGTGCATCGGTGCACGGACCGGCAGCAATAAACACTGATGGTCTCTCTCTATACCTATACATTCAGTCACCTGTATCGACTCACGGACCGGCATGGCGGTGGACGCCCGAGTCATGACGAGGGTCACGTGTCCGTCCACCGACTGGTCGTCCATGAGCCGCCCCCGGCCACGGCCGCGATATTGATCCCTCGGTGGTGGAACAATTGATCCGGGGCGGCACGTGTCGCGACCTGACGACACGCATTTCCAACTGGCTGGAGTGGGCGCGTTATCGCCAGCTTACGGGGTGCTTAATTAGCGTGTGACGCTCCTCTATTGATCGAAAGTGTTAACGAGGGATCTGCAGCGTTCGGTATAATATTTGGAATTCTGACTAGCTCTTTGGACGGTAGTTGCTTCAAACGCTGGATTGGGGAACGCCAACATGTAAGGGATTACTCGCTGAGTCGGTAAGGTCGTCGTCTCACGGTGTAGCCAAGGTAGCCGGATGGGAACGGTGCCGGACCTGGCTCGGGTCGGGACGGGAACAGCGCGGGGCACACATTACGCCGGCCGCTGCGGCTGCCAGCTGGGAAGTACGGCGCGCCGGGCTGCAGCGGTGGCCGGCTGGGTCAGGGGTCGGCTGTAATGAGCCGGTAGCGGCCGGTCAGACACCCACCGGCAGCCGCGGCCCACGGCTATCCAGTGACCCAGCGGTGCCGGCCCGCGCCCGGCCGCCGCGTCCAACACGCTAATAGCCGCGCGCGCCGCCGCGACAGCGCCGGGCGGCGTGTGAGCCGCCCTGGCCCCGGTGACCGCACGCAGGCCGGCCGACCGCGGCGGCCAATTCTGGGAGCTGCAGCCACCGAGGGTGTCGATTTGGACGGATGACCTGTGACCCGGTCAGCGGGCAGGGTCAGCCGCATACCGACACGGCGGTCAGGTTAGCGCGGAGGGTAACTGGTGCAGACGGACACACGCTATTGACCGCAGGCATGCACGGTGTTCGGGGCGGACTGCCGACCTCAGGAACTGAGCTGTGACCTCGCCGGTGACCTCCGGTAACCGAGCCGTCCCTGATCCCGCGGTCGGCCCGAACCGGACCGGTGTCGATAACTCCTGCGTCCCCCGGACTGTCCCTGGATCTTCCCCGGCCTCACCTGCAGGTTCAGCAGCAGCTCCTCGCACTGCAGCACGTCCACGCGCTCGTCGATGCCGATGACGACGCCGGAGTAGCCGTTGTCCACCAGTGTGACCCTCGATCCTGCCGTCCCTATGATCAGGCCCAGCAGCGCCACCGCGGCCGCCATCCGTCGCAGCTCCATCTCAGAGTCTCCTACACACCACCGTTGATGCAGCTAATGATCAGAGCTTGTTGACGTCCCCGCTCAGACGGTAACCATGACAACGCAGCGATGCCGGTCGTCAGGTCGCGTCGATCTCGATGGAGCGGGATGGCTGTTTACCGCAGTCAGGCGATATGCCGAGTGGGTGGCGCTCGTGACGAGGGGGACGGGGCGCCTCCGCCAGGTGCGCCAGGTGGCCTATCGACCCGCTAACCGCTTCCAGCCCAGTCGATCGTCGACTGCGACGCTGGCGATCGTCAGGACCGACTATGTCCGTCGCAGGTCGCCGTGAGACTGTCCGTGTGTCACGGGCCTCTGTCCGGGGAACTGCGAGCTCCTCTCAGTCTATGGCACTGGAGCCGAATTCACGGTCCTATCGGGCTGCGAACTCACAGGTGTACGGAGCACCGGCCAGCAGGTCCTCTCGGGGGCACGACCGGTCGCACTCTGCGCGGCACGCACCTGGTGTGGCGCCGGCCCGGCAGGCGGCAGCACCGTCGCCGCTCAGGTGCGCGCTCCGCCCGGGCGGGGTGCGTTTCGGTCGGGCGCTCGGGGACCCCATGGGGAGCTGGTGGCTCCGACTGCGGCTTCCGAGCGGCTGCCGGTGACCACGCCGGTCACTGGTGCGCCGGCGGACCAGTCCGTGCGCCGGCGGCATGCTGCCGCTCACTGACGGGCTGGATAGAGTGGCTAGACGCTGATGGGCGATTTATCGCCGCTAAGCCGCCTTGAGCCGCCAATCAATGGATGAGTGGGTTGGATGAGTCACCGAACTACCAGTTCCTGGTCGATAGACAATGGTTTAATCGTCTCATGTTGGGCCATGGCCCAACGGCCAACATGCATGTTTTCATCCGTTCAGAAGTGCTTATGATGTGTGTAAATCTAAATAGTGCGACGCAGTTTGAGGCACAACCTACGTAGCCAAATGACTGGTAGAAATTGTCCCGTGAAATCTAGCCCTTAGTGAAGCTAACGGGAGCACGGAAAATGCATCAACCACCTGATGAAAAATTACAGTGACTGTCACAATATTCCGTCTTCTTTCACGTGGCTCCTGAAAACGCACAGAAGCGTCGCGCCGCTGGGAGCCGCATTCCTCGCTGGGTCTCAGAGCGGCGCTTCTGTCTGCTATAGGCGGCGTCTCAATTACTGTCAGTGACGCCGACTGGTGTCCCGCTGAGCGGGGACGGGTCATGGGACGGGCAGGTCGGGTCGCATGGGACAGGCAAGTCGGGATGCCATGGGACGGGAGGTGAACTGGCAATGGGACTGTGAAGTCAGCTGACGTCCCAATGCATTGGGACATTGATTGCATTGCATTGCAATGGCGCAGAGGTCGGAGTGTCATGGAAAGGAGGTCGGCTGGCGACCCCAATGGGACAGTGAGGTCGGCTAGACATGGAAGTGATTGGTCGGTCCACCGCGAGCTCGTGTGTCTCGTGAGACCAGACGGCCCGATTGGGGGTTGCCTGGGAATGGGAATCGACTGGCCCAGAGATTCACCTGGTGCATTAGGGAAGCTGTCCCAGGTCACGTGGGGCCCATCATATGGGCAAGGCTGCGACACCCACTGGAGCGACTAATAGGATGATGCAGTGGAAGTCGGTGGTGGTAGAGCATTAGGTGGCGTTCTCCCGTTTCTGAAGGATAACGGACATATTACATAGAACGGTGGATATAGGGGAAGTTGGGGGAACGCCGAAGACTTTTTTTGTGACGCCCGTAGCACGCAAGGTAGACAACATACGCTATTCTTGTTGGCGTCATTCGAGAGGCCAGTCTTTTGCCTTTCAAACATACCAGGCGCATTTGATGAATTCGCATACCGTTAAGCGCACAAACTAAAAATATCAAAGAAGTGACTTTTTCGGCGTTGCCCCGGACTGCGGGGAAAGCCGAAAATGGGAGAAATGATCTACGGGGAATGCCGACATTGATGTTTTGCCATTTTATCTCAAACTTTATCCAGAATTCATCAAATCTGACACACGTTTCAAGAGCTTGAGGACGCGGTGCACACTGGAAGTTATAATTGTGTGATATAATAAGAAAATGCCAGGTAAATCATTCCTTATAGGTAACAGGCCGTTGTGTCGGTTGAAAGTGTAATTTGTGTGACTAAAAATACGCGTTGCTATTCTACAGCAGTAAAGTCCACGTAGCGTGCTTTTAACACGTGCGTAATCGCACGTTTTCGGCATTACCCCAGCCAGCCATACTTTCATTTGCAGGCCCATAACTTTTCAACGTGCTGTATAAATTTCAAATAGGCAGCACACTTATGCAAAGACATGCTAAAGATTACTTGACCGAATTGGCCAGACAAACGGTAGCATAATGAGTAAAAAATGCAGCTTCAAAGGCGCATGTAGTACAAGGGAAACGTACCTTGAAAACGCTCTTGGCGCCCTCACAGTCGAAGTATTCCGGATGACGACTCGTAACAAACATGCGATAATTGTAGTCACTTAAGCTTCAGAGCATCACTGACAGGTGACATCCATGTCTTACGGTTTTCGAAATATCTCGAATTTCGGCTTTGCCCCAACTCCGGCATTGCCCCAACTTCCCCTACCATGGTCGGATGCCGGCTACCTTATGACCCATAACTGGACAGCCATCCCGAAAGAAAGAACGTTGGTATGGATACGGTTGTCAGTTATTAGTAAAAGTAATCCATTTCAAAAGATCGAAGAGTGAAGACGGATTAGTGGTTAGAATGCAAGCCGCAATGTATGTATTCGTACGGTATCAAGCTTTCGGGAATATGTCTAATGCCGAGAAGCATTGGCCTGCATTCTGACCACTAACTTACCTATGCCTATTCACTGGCTCTAAATATTATTCAGTAAATTATACTCACGTCGGGAAGGGATTTCCAAGTAGCAATCGATATACCTACAACTTTTTCTTTGACGAGTAAAATGAGTTATGGGAGGCTCCGCCATCAACCGTGTTGTGTTTGCAAGCACCTACATTATTCAATGTCCTGGATCTTCTATGCCACCCTGCCAAAAACAACACAGATGTAGCTTTCTGTACACGATGTTCGACACAAACCTCCCATTTCTGCACCATTTCGCGCAGCATCTCCTCAGCCGCATTTGCATTCCCCGTTCGTTGTCCCCCGCCACATCACAGCTCTAATCGCGGTGTCAATCTCTGATAGACGCATCATCGGCGCTCGTCCCGCCGGCCGACACTGGTGCTACACGTGTCTGTCCGCGCCGAACCACTCTGCACCGCCGCGGCCCGGCCCGGTGGCGTATGCACGGACCGCCGGCGGGCCACGCAGCCCGTCTCACGTGCGCCCGAGCGGCCGGAGCATGCAGATGAGCGGGCAGCGCTCGAACGCCCGCCGCCGGCGCCGGAGCAGTCGGTGCCGGACGCCAGGTGGCGCCTCCGGCAGGGTAATTAGAGCACTCCGAGCGCGGCCGAGTGCCGGTGCCGAGTGCCGAGTGGCTAGGTCGGCTCACTCATGTTAGATGAGTGCCAGAATGGAGCTCTGCCTGCCGCCGGAGACGACGACGGGAGAGCTCCGGAGACGGTGGTTTATTGATCGATAACGTGACTCGGGGAACCGACATAAAATTGGCCGAATTAATGACCTAATGACCTATGGTCAAATGTGGTGCATTAGGTTGGTCGCGCTCGATAAGTCGATTTGTGGTTATTAGTCTGTTAGCCAGCAGGAGCCTCCATGTTTCAAAATAAAGCAACACTGATCAATCGATTAATTTTACAAAAGGCTATTGCATGTGGCATTTGTAAATGGCCATTGGTCATTGGTCAATGACCTGGTTTGGTAACCAGACTGGTTTCAAATGAGGCGAGTTATAACCGCGCCGGAGAGGCCTCATCAGGCGGCTCATTTCGGACTCGGTCGGTAGCGCTACGGCTCGTTCGCGGCGCCTCCGTCAGCTGGAGGCCGCATTTGTCTGCGGCTTTCACTGTGTCTAGTCAGTGGCTAGTTCGCCTTTATTTTGGCCGGGGAGAGAAGGCGCGACTCTCCACGGCGCGGCGGCCACTTCGAGCCATGGCTCGGCCGATGGCGCTCGATCGTGTCGACTTTGGACTGTGCACAAAGCGTTGTTTAACCCTCGCCCCGTTGGGGGGGGGCATTTTGGCCCCCCCTCTGTGGTTTTTCCTGAATAGCAAGAAAACGGCGGCGCGCAGCGCCGCCAAATTTTCAGTACCTTTCCGGGCATCAATTTGACACCTTCACACCAAATTTCAAGTCTTAGGTCAGCTTAGGTCAGGAGTTATTGAGGTCAACCTGAGGTCATGTTCGAGCAAAAATGAGCAAAAAACATGCAATCTTGAAACGCTCACCAAATCTACAGTTATCAAGCAATTTCAAAGTTCTTTATATGGTCTAATAGACAAAAAGCGGCGCTACAAAACTGCTATCTCGGATTTTCAAAATTTTGGGTTTTTGACCCAAAAAATTTCAAAAAATTGATTTTTTAGAAAAACTTAAAAAATCCAAACTTTTTCCGAATTTCGAAAAAAACGGAGTATATGTGATAGCCCCTGCGCTCTTCTATATACATACAAAATTTCAGATCGATATCTCGTTTTTTGGCCAAGTTATAGCGAAAAAAAACTGTTCAAAAATGATGACGTCAAATTTTTGAACTCATTTTTTTAGCGATTCTAGACCTCGTACGGCAAAACAAAGACCACCATTGAACTCCCCGTGACGAGCTGCATCGATTCGATACCCATTTCATGCAAAAATATCAACTTTGAAATTTGACCTTTTTTGACCTGACCTTGACCTGACCTTGACCTGACCTTGACCAAAACGTGACCTAAGCTGGCCCCAAAGGCTGCCTGACCCACATAATCGCATTTGTCATGTAAAATGGACCATAAAACATGTATCACACGACACTTTCATATTGTGACCCCCCAGTGACCTGACCTCAGTGACCTGACCTGGTATCAGTGACCTCAACTAGCAAAATATGTGTTTGAAGAACATTTCCCCATCGATGATTTTCAATGAAATGCATTTTACTCGATTTTACAACGCATTTCTTGAAATGCCTGTAAACGGTGAAAATTGGACCTTTGACCTGACCTGTGACGTCATCGGTTTGACCTAGGTCAATAAAATTGGGTCACAAGGTAGTTCCCTGATAGGGCTATCCAACACCGTTTGCCGCTTGTCGCTACGTTGCGTGGTTCTTGAGATCTTAGGGGGGGGGGGCAAAATGCCCCCCCCCCCCAACGGGGCGCGTTGCTCGGCAGAGCCCAACGGGGCGCGGGTTAAAGACATCTGAAGTACCTACGTTTTTTATAAGTCATATAAATATACACAATACAGTCTCCTTATATTCTCAAGTCATTTTCAAACGCGGTGGCTTAGATCGTTCAAAAAGTTTTCATTGAAACTCCATACCTACATGGGATGCGAGGGACAACAAAAGTGTCTTCAAACAGGATCCCACT